TTTTTTTCATAGTTGAGGGACTAAAAAAATGTAAAAAAATTGAAGGATGAAAATTATATAAAATCTTAAAGTTAAGGAGCCAAAATTGATATTTAATCATTCTTATATTATCTATGAATGAAATAAATAGAAATATAAAAATTAAAGAAAAATGAAAAAAATGAAAAAATATATAAAAAAAAGAGTTGCATCAATTTTGGTTAACTAAGTTGATTGGATTTGGATGAATTTGACTGGGTCTGAATGGGTGTTGATCAAATTTGACTTCAAATAAGTTATTATCATAATTATATTCGTTTTTTAAACCAAATGTGATTCAATCAATTAAACCAACTAAGTTGGCCCAAGTTCCAAAAGAATGCTTCTTAATAAGGTAATCACTGTTAGTCTAACATATAAATTTTTTTTTTGAACAAAGGGAAATTTTAAAGGGAATTATGAAATATCACAATTGTCCCAATAGGGACTCGAAGCCTTGGCATGGACTAAGGTGTTAATGCGCATTACCAGTCCACCAGGGGCTGTTGGTGCAATAAGGGTAAATGTAGAATAGATATATTAATACTCATTCCGTACAACATGTGTCTAGTTAATGTCATACATTATTTTATTAACATCATGTAAATGTTATTTACTTTGGTCTTACATATAAATTAAAAATATTATCTCTATAAACTTTATATATAACAGTTAACTTCTAATTTTACTTTATTTTAAAAAATTAATATAAGTTTTTCTTTTTCAACCACTACTAGAAAACCTAACTTCACCAACCCCAAATTACCGATGTAAGAATTTTTCTCGGTGAACAAATAACTTACCGACGAGAAATATGTCTGCAAAGCCAGAAATAGTAAAAATAGGAGTAATATATATTATTTATGGTTCAGACGAAATCTTTGTCGGTAAATTAATAAAATACACACGTGTTCGTTGTCGGTGATATGATGCAACATTCAGTCCAGCGACAATCACGCCAAAACCCAAAATCTCATTTCTCATGCCGACCAAAACCAAGCAAAAGTTTCAACCCTTCAATCTCCACCCAGACTTTATTAACTTGATTCTGATCACCATTCCTCATGTTGATGGCCTCCCTCTCAGCATAGAGACAACAACCAACGTTGCTCCTCCTCTGCATCCTCTCATCATGACTGCCATGGACCTTACAGAACCAACCATTAATTGAAGCTTCCCTTCGTGAACTCCAACCCCAATTCGTCTTCTTTGATACCTGCCACTAGTTACTAGAGTTATTATGGAAGCTTGGTATCAAGTTCGTACATTATTGTATCAGCAGTCCTGCAACTATTGGATACTTTTTGCGTCCAAAAAGGAAGTTTTTGGAAAAGGGTTTGATGGCTGAGGATCTCATGCAGTTGCCGGATGGTTTTCCTTCTTCAACGATCAAGCTACATTCTAACGAAGCGCAAGTACTGGCTGCCATCCGTGTTGGTGGAGTTTCATTCATGAAGCGCCTATTCATCTGCTATAAGGAATGCGATGCTATTGCTTTCAGAACATGTAAGGAGATTGAAGGGCCTTATTGTGATTTATAGAGAACTAATTTAAAGGGCCGATGATCCTTTGCGGACCGTCAATCCCAGAAAGAACATCTCTGGCATTGAACGAAAAATGGGAAACTTTATTGGGATTTTTATCTGCCATCCTTACCAATAAGCTGCACGTTGGTAAATTCAACTTTCCCACATGAATCTCGTCAGCAATTTCCACTTTCCAACATGATTTTAGTCAGTAAAATGGCATATATACCAACATGAAGTTGGTCGGTGATTTGGGTGGATCGCCAACATTTTTGGTTTTTTCATTCCCTCCTTTGAGCAAACTACATATGTCATCTTTGTCGGTAAAATAAATGCCAACATGAAGTTGGTCGGTGATTTGGGCGGGATCACCAAAATTTTTGGTTTTTTCATTCCCGCTTTAGGTAAACTACCTATATCATCTTTGTTGGTAAAATAAATACCGACAACACAAACATAGGTAAATTGGTGTATATATACCTTACCCCAGCCCTCTGCCGGCTCATTTATTCTTTCCTTCCTTCTTCTGCTTCTTCTTTTTTCTTCTCCTCCCTTATCTGTGCCTTCTCTCTTTTCCATTCAATGCTGCTAGATTAATTGTTTATGTTTTCTAATTACAGAACATTCATATAATTTTGGGTTTATATGATCTTCTCAATCTCCTCTCTTTTTCTCTTCAATTGTTTCTCCCTATTTGATTAAATACTAATTTATGTTATTAATCAATTTATTTGCAATTCTATTTTTTTTTTAATTTTGTTTTCCAGGAAACATTAGGAGATAATCATTGGTTAAGTAAGTTTTATTTATGCAAATTGACATTCAATTTCATGTTTATGTTGGTTAGAGCTATTTTAGTTGAAATTATAAATAAATACTAACCTAATTTGTGTTTCTTTTTTTTTTTTTTAAGAAATGGTGTTCTGTAAATATTCACCTATTCTTTAATTTTTTGGTTTTTCTAGTTATATTTTAACTTTGTCATATTATTCTTATTTTTTAAATTATGTTTTAATGATTAATTTAAATAAATTAATAAATACACCAAATTTCTATTTGTATTGTAAAATTTTCATATTATATTTATTTTTCATGATATTAAGTATTATGAATTACTTTATTTAACTGTAAATTAATTGAATTAAATAAAAAATATATATTAATTTCAATAATAATTCAAGAAACTTCATTTTTTATTATTTTTGAGGATTTATTTACCAATATTACCTTCATCGGTAAACTGAACTTTTATTTTGGCAGCAAGGATGTTGTTACCAACATTATCCTTGTCGGTAAGCAGCAGGGAACCAAAATGGCGCCTAAAATTGCCGACTCAATTCTTGTCGGTGATTTCCAATTTCGCTCCTCAGTCAGTCATCGATGTAGCTCACCCTTCGAGGCATTGCTGAACTTCCAGATGTGATATTCGTCGGTGAATTACCGATGTGGAATAGCAGAACAATCTCAGCCTTCGAGGCAATGCTGTATTGCAGATGTGATCTTTGTCGGTAAATTACCGACGTGGAGTTACAAAAAAGATCTCCGTTGTTACTATTCCGACCTATTGTTTGAGAGGTGTTCCTTGTTGGTAATGTGCAGCTTGTGCAGCTTGTTTACTGACATGACTTTAATTCACATCGGTAAACCAATTACTGAGCCCACTTTCACTGACAAAGTTATTTCCAACATGATTCAAATTGGAAGCTTCTTTTACCGACGTGATTACCTTTTTCTCCGAGATGATTTCTCGTCGGTAAAATAATGAATTCTAGTAGTGAACAAATGTCTTTCTCTCATGACCATATTACACGTTAACCAGTTATTGACCAACGCTAGTTGACTTAAGTGCGAAATTTACACGGGTGTGATTACGGTGATGCCTTATGATATAAAAGTTATACAATTTTGTTTAATTTAATTATTATTAATAACTAATAATTAATAAAATAATTTATATTTATTATTTAATAAATTAAAATTAATTTATGAATTACTATTTTTAAATATTATAATTAATTATTTACAAAATTATAATAAATTAATAAAATATTAATTAAACTAAATAATATTTATATGACATTAACAAAACACAAGTTGCACGTAAAGGGTACTAATAAGTGGAAAGACTAAAATGAAATGACGCAAATACACAGCATTATTATTATTATTATTATTATTATTATTATTATTATTATTATTATTATTATGTATTAACCTTTCGATATCCGATAACTACATTGAATCTCTATTAATTCAGAATCGAATCGCCTCATATTCTATTAAAAAAGAAACTCTTTCAACATTTGATTCTCCATTCACAAACCACATTGAATTTCTATTAATTCAGAATCGAATTGCGTTAGATTCTATTAAGAAAGAAACTCTTTCAATATTTTTTTCTTCATTTATAAGACTCGAACTCGAAATTTTATTTAAGGAAAATTAAGTTCCTTCCACTCAATTCAATAAATCATTGGTAAATATACAGCATTAGCAAGTGGAAAGACTATAATGAAATGACCCAAATACACGGAAAGTGTTCAGCCGGTCTTACAAGGAAAGGGTGCTTTTCCGTTTGTCTCAATTTAACTGATTTATTGATTTTTTGAATGTAATTTTAAATATTTTTTTTTGCATGATATATTAACAGTAAATGAAAATTTTGTAATAAACAAAATTATTCAAAAGAATTACATACAAAATAAAATAAAATTAATTACAGCTTGTATATTACTTAATAATATCACTTACATTTACTTTTAAACATTTTACAAACAATTATAATTTGACGTGGAGGAAGCAACAAGGAGAAAGAGACCATAAAGGCTTCCCACTTCCCAGTCATGGCATTAATCACGGAAAAGCACTCTTTTTGTTTTTC